GGATCATCTTTCGAGCACTACCCAACAATTTATCCAGGGTAACTGCGGAAGCTTTGGATAGACTCACTCATCATCATCAGTAATACAGGTTATCCGAGAGTGAAAAGCATACCATAGCTAATGTGCCGCAAGATAGGCGTACTGTAAAGAACAAATCAGCTATGTTGTCTTCGTGCGAGAATAAACATGCTGCTTCCACCTAATTAGGTGGAACTTAGGCTCAAATGGATTTATCAGGCGCAGTGTACGATGTGCAGTTAGAGTGATCATATTAAAGTCATCTCCAAGTACCTCACTTTTGGTAGGTTGTTCCGCTATGTGGCAAAACAAGTGCATCAATTTCTTTAAGCCATCTGCACTAGGATCCAGAGAGGAGCAGACGAAACCTAAAAGTACCGAATTGCTTCTTGTAACGATAAGCACAAGCATAGTGTCAATGCTGTTTTCGTTAAGGAGGCTATGTAACAGTGATCCTTGAAAGTTGTTGGATACATTGCAATACAACCACCGGCAATTGCTAAACCTCGGCAAACAAGAAAACTGTGATACTTATCAGCATAGAAAGGAGAATGGGGAATATCTTTTGTAAATCGACTTTCCCTCACTAAGATGAAGTCTGGTCCAAATTGTGATACTGCAGAGCGAAGAATGTGAATTTTATTACGAGGGGTATGGGCACTTAACAGAAGTGCTGTGATCGATTTTGCCTAACGAGGTAAGTATCCGTGCAGACTGAATAAGTTAGTGAGTGGTGGTGAAATATTTCGGTTAGCGTAATATAGATTGGAGTAGTTCAGTACAAAGCAAGAAAGCGTTGTGGATGAGTGATTAAGTATGGAGTCAGCCTACTTCGGCAAAATACATAATTGTAGGTTTTCGACCAGTTCTCAACCGTGCAAGGGTAGGTCAGCTGTCGGCTGGTGACAACTGGAGGATGTGGGGCTGGAAGATTTAGAAGCAGTTGTGAAACAGTTTGCGACGAGCAGAGTTATCGGACACGGCTGAGCACCATGTATGTGTACAGCTGGATAGTGAGAAGCAGACATAAGAAGAAAGTTGGAATCAATTTGAGGAATTTCCGAAAAAGGGTCAAGAGATTTTGGGATAGATAACATTGGATATTCTCCCCAGGTTACCTAAACAAGGCAGTTCATTCAATCCTACGACTGTAAGAGTTGGATGAATATTTCGGAAAAAGTCCGTTGGAGTAAAACGCACGCCAAAAGTGGAGGTATTATATGCTTTTGGGTGATCAAAGACAAAAAGAGGAGATAATAACCTACTGAAGAATATGTTTGAGGTGAGGCATGTTTTGAATAAAATTAAGCTCTTAAACCAATGCTTCTAAGATGAGTTGATGAGTAGAACAGTTTGAATAATGCTGGATAAGCATGAAGGTTTTTCCGCAGTTTTATAGCCTAATCATATGATACTTCATAGTGTCAGCTTTACAAAAAATTTTGCGATATCACGGAGGTCAGCAGAGTCGGGGATATTGATTGCAATGACGCTATAAATGACTGGCTGTCCGTAAGACCACGAGAGCATTGTCCAGCTTGGTTATAAAGTGGTGTGAGGAAGAATGTAACGAGTGCAGTACTGTCACAATTGGCTGATTCTAACCCCAAAGTAAATTCAAACGAAGCATTCCAAACGATCTACTGTGTACCAGGACACTGCAAAGGAACTGTTAGATATCGCCAGCTGTCGACAGCAGCGGCAATCGCAATTCGGCCCCATAACCCGGACTTGTGTGCACTGAAGAATTTTGTGCAGACCCTCTATCTTTCCTGGCCACAGATTAACACGAGTAATCATACCTATCACGTTATTTCCTCCGATTCCACACAGTTCGGGCTAATCAGGTATCCTTACTGATGGGAAGTTTTGATTCATTGACACCTATAACTCACGTGTTTATTTTTGATCCATATAGTTTTGGTTGTATTAGTCTAATGATGACCCACTGAAAATAAGCTTGTTCGCTACCTCCTACTTCTAATATTTTTTCAGGGTATTATTTCCCAACTGAAACAGTACAGTAGTTACTTTATATAACTTTCCTCTGAATCAAGCTTCACAGAATTTTGACGGCTGCTGCTCCAACGTTTACTAATCGGAAGTTGTAAGGCAATTACTGCATCCTTCACTATTGTTGGAGAGTCTCCGGATTCTACTGTACTGGTGGATAAGGCAATGGGGACTTAGTTTGCCGGTAACATAGAAGGAGTGTCAATTGTTTGGTTGACGATGAGTCCATGAGAAATAGCAGTAGGTGGCAAATTGTGTTTACCATTAGCTGCTGTAGTGGCGAAAAACAGCTGACGGTAGTGGTTCACACCGTGCACTGGTATAACAAGGATATGACTAGGGGATAACATCTGTTCGCCCCCGGTAACAGACAGAGAAGGTTGCAACAAGGTCAGACTAACCTACAGTAAGTTGACTTCTACCTCAATGAAATCCTTAACCCAACCATTGGCCCCGAGCATTTGCACATGTTTAACTTTAATTAATTCCACTGAAAAGTTAAACAAGCCTTTCAACGGTAATGTCACTCGCTATGGATTCGCAGTTTGACCGTTTTAATTTCAACATTGCTGAACCCAACGGAACCTGGTAGCGTAAACAGCGGGTTAGTGATGAACGGTGATCTGATAAAGTCAAACCATGCTATTTAAACATAATCACCTAGTTCAGTGTCCCGTGATCACACTGGTCGAGAAAATCCAGCTTTGTGGGATGGGGTACTTAGCATCAAGGTGTAGGACTATTAGAAATCTAACGATACCAATTAATGGCCGATGAATATCCTCGCTCATTCGGATAGATACCTCACCTGACACGGACCCATAGCAACTTAGACTGATTCGTGAACGAGGACCGAGAGACGTACGTGCTCCGGCATGTGGCACATACGGCACTAGTGGTTTGGGCTCATGCTTACAGTTCGACTTTATAAATAGACGCTGTGAGTATTCTGCTTATTTGTGTGTGAAGTACCGAAACGGTCAGTTCCGTCGGAGTATCAATTTAGTGCCTTCTTTCTTTGATCAGTGGCGCCTACGCAGTGTTTTGTGCAAGTGATGGTGTGATTGAATACTGAACGGTCAGATGCGCAAAATGTTATAATGTAACAATGGTCAGCACAGAGGTCAACAGCCAGTAGAGCTATTGAAGTGTAACCTAAAGACCCCACACACGGTTATTTCAGAACATGTGCGTGAGGTAATTAGGTCACCGTGACAGAACTAGTTTACACACTGCGAACTACGTGCACTTAGATAAAAAGTTTTGTGTGACATTTGAGGTAGGCTGTCGTCCACTCTTCACGCCTATATCCTAGTTTAGGTCGACAACAGACGTTTCCATTCCGCTACTATTCTCTGGATTCCACATCTTCTAAAACTGAACGCAATTGTTTAGAATTGGTGCTGAAACACAGCGCAGCAGCTTTTTCACCTTAAAGTATCAGTGTCAGGTTCAGGAATCATGATTCTTGGTCCACATCACTTGGTTGGCAGTTATAGTATTTCGCACGTCGGTTGTAGGGCCGTCACAAGTGTCAATATCGTGTGTGCAGGAGCTAAAGTTGGACGATTCCCCCACAGCTGTTACTACAGAAGCTCTAGACCGAGAGATCCGTCGTTCGCTACTCTAACGAAAATGAACTTTGCTACCATTCGCTCACTACTATTGAGTAGAAGTCCTACAGTTTAAACAAGCAGTGTGATAATAAGCTTTAAGACGTTCCAATGCAAAGGGAGGTGCCAGTATGGTCCAGAGCATGAGAATCGGTGAAGTGATACAAGTAACTTCAACCTCAGTTGAGCAAAAACAACATGCAACAACATGGCAACTAGAGTTTCACTGCCCAGTGATCACTGCCCAGTGATCACTGCCCAGTGATCATGAATTTTCTAAGGATGTGGAGACTGAACAGGCTTCAGGCAGGCAGGCAGAACTGACGGAATTCCATTTGCTTACTCCTCCAACCCCTGTCTCTGTCATCGCGTCTTACAATCATTCCTTCAAGTGAAGGGTGTTAGGTTAGGGGAGCACTATTAACCAGATTCGCTCGTTTCCAAACTGGTGTCGCTGCTGTACTAATCGCAGTCGGTCGATGATTCGGTGACAAAGGTAACAAATGAACTAGTGATCTCATGGGAAGAACGCTAAGACATTCGAAATATGATAGTTTAAACTATGGGCGAAACCGGATGAAGTACAGCAAGTCAAATACCTGCCACGTGTGTGGTAGACAATACGCTGTTGAAACCGCCGGCCGATTCTTACCCAACTCATAAACCCCTCAGATGCGATCGTCAAATTTGGAACTACTAAACTTGGGGTCGGGTTCGGGAGAGTTTGTATGCAAACCGACTATATATAAACTGCATAGCGGCAAAATTTCGCTTAAGCAATAGCCTCTTCACGCTTATGCCTATTTCCAGACAAGGACGTCGAGTTGTTAATGAGTATACAGTCATCTTTGCTTTGCACCAGTTCTGAAACTAAAACAAAAAGGTTCCGGATTAAATCAAACAATAACGGATCTGTCTTCCGTCGCCTTCATCAGATGCTTTTGTTGTAAGCAATACCCAAATAATATGTCGACCAGCAGATACCGTGTTGGAACATATTCTCAGCTGTGTGACTGTGTTAGAAACAATAAGTTAACAATGCACAATATAAATGAAAATGAAGTACATAACGGAAAATATTAAAGTAAATTAAGTAAAGTAGCATCGGGAAGCATAGAAAACTTTGATAGTGCATGAACTCAACTTTATGTTCATGTCAAACTTGATGAACTTTGAAACTGTTTTCAATCTTCGAAAGATGCTCAACGTGGACCAACCTAATCTTTGTCACAGGTCTGTGGTAGATATGTGGATTACTGAAATAGGTTTATGACATCGAATATAACGCTCTGTAAAGCGATGACGAACTGACTAATGCCCGTATCATTAGATAGGTGATGCGCAATTCTACTGTACCTGCATATGACACTCCAACCAGGATTCCTCTTTCATTTGGAGGCGCCCATGAAGACCAAAGTTGATAAAATCCGGGGAACCATGCGGCCTGTAATTTAAGTATAAGGATGCATGTGAAACTGCCTGCGTTTTGAAAATTCGGATATACAAGATGTATATTACGAAGTAAAAAAGACTAGTTCGGTGCATTCGATGGAGCAAGCAAAGAGTGTGCTTCATAAACCATCAAAATATTATGTAATTGATGGTGAACACGTGAAAGGCCGAGCCGCTGGATACACAAGTGAGGATGAACACTTATAAAACGGAACAGCAATACGCCGGCACGCCGTACTGACGCTTCGTTGCCACTGGTAGACGCGAGGATCGCCCTGTCCCTAGAAAGGCCCGAATCAGTGACCTCCGGATTAAAAGGCAGGCGTGTGAATCTTTCGGACACGGGCCGGCTGGGGATCGAGTTATCCTAATAGCTGCGTGTGGTGACAATTGGCCACCAGGTCGGTGGTGTGGACAATGCTTTTGCAGCCACGCGTTTTGAGTCCCAAAAGTGTGGGACAGCCTCGAGCACCACAGATGAACTACACTCACATTCGCCCAACAGGCCGGCCAGTAGGCATTTATAGAATATATATATATATATATATATATATGTATATATATATATATATATATATATATATATATATATATATATATATACTGAGGCTGATGTTGCATTCTTGATGCTTCTTCACCACAGTTGGGCTAAACCAACTTACACTTAAACTAGGTCTTTTTAAGCTGGATAAATTTCATTCCACTTTATTTGGTTTCTTCTGCCTACCTGAATAATCTTCTATTAACTGGCCACGTTGCTTACACTAATTGCGCTTATCTTCGGTAACTTTGTTGCGTTTGTAACATTTTAAGTAAATCGTGGAAATTTCTTACTTATCGCGGATTCGTTTCTGACCAACTTACTTCATATGCTAATTTAGCGAAGAGTTATGCCACCGTATCTGTATGCATTATTGGATTTGTTTTATTTTATCTTGTCGTTTCAAGTGAATGGCTGTTGCTTGATATCCCCGGTGTGGCTGCGCTTGATGTGCATGTTGACAAGGTGCCTACCTGTCTATTACCCATTTCGTCGTTCATACTGCCTCCAAGAGACAGTTGGTCGTTGCTGGAGGGGACGTGGGTGCACGGTCCTTGTGGCCGTGCTAGGCTCGAAAGCGGTTCCATGCACTCAGTGTGGCGCGGACTACGGTCCAGCCACCGCTTTGTGTGCGCTTGATTCCCCAACTACAGTGTGCTTGTGTTTGCCTGTGAAGGATTGTGGGCCGTTTCCGTTGATGGAACGTGGCTCCCATCCACATACCTCCCGGTGTTATTTCTTCGGGTTTACACTGGATATGGGGTGTGTGATTGGAGCTGTGGCTGATGCAGCGCAAGCCATCCATGGTCCCTCTGCAGGCGTAGGCGTCTGTGGCTACCACAGTGACAGGCAAATCTGAAACCGGATGCCGCCAACCATATATGTAGGGTTTGCAGGCCGTCACCCAGTAAAGCGATGTCATCAGCGTAGTCCAAGTCCGCGATTTAGGTGCCAGAGGGAAGGTCAGCACCGCAGTTTTGGATACCTTGTGGCGCTAATTGCACGATATCTTCGATGACAAAATTGAATAGGAGTGGTGAAATTAGGCAGTCTTGGTGAACGTCGCTGGTGAAAGCAATCGAAGAGGAAAATATTGCATAAGCCCTAATTTTGCCCGACGTGTAACTGTACACTTCCGTCAAAGTGAGAGCAAACTTGTCTGGCACACTCTTCATTAGTAGACAATTCCACAGAGCAGCTCTGTCTTCTGAATCGAATGTAGAGCGGATGCTCAAGCACACTACGATTGTTGGTCGACGGTGAACGTGACGGAGCCCGATAATTTGTCGGAGCCTGAAGATCTGATCAACGCAACTTCGGCTTTTGCGAAAAGAGGCTTGCTCTTCTCGGGAGAAGCTCTCTCTGGGGAGGAAAGCCTGCGAAGTAAGATGGACACAAAAATATTGGAAGCAACTGAGATCAGCGAGATTCCGCGATAATTATCACAATCTTCGCGGGGCCGTTCTTGTGAAGCGGGAAAACGATTGAGTCCTCTCATGAGTTGGGGACCTTCTCATCAGCCAAACCTTCGTGAAAATTAAGAGCAATTCGTTGACAATTACATCCCGCCATCTTTGAAAAGATGCCGGAGGAAGGATGTCTGGGCCGGTAGCTTTATCCTGTTTCCAAGATCGGATTGCGCTTCCAATCTCTACTTCGGTACGAGGGTCAGTGGGGACAGGCCAAGCACCATCCGATGGAGATGGAGGTGTCACAATGGGTTGTGCTGGGTAGTTAAATTGAAGAGCAAAGTGCTCCGCCCAGCGCTCCAGTCGCTTCTGCAGGTTAGTGATTTTTGTACCGTCTAACTAGCAGATTGTCTGACTATTGGTGTGTGCATTGTAATCGGTGGTCTTGATGAGGCAAAGGAACTGCGGGGGTTTCCAACTGATGCAGCGGCTTCCATCTCAGCAGCACCTCTAGACCACCAGGATTCACGGTTAGAGTAAAAGCTTGCCTTCAGATGTAGAGAAACAGACCGACGGATTTCGTTGTGTTCCGCGCCGGCGGGCAAGGCACGTCGACTATATAGAAATTCCGAGGAAGTTGCGAGATCCAGCTTTTAGCCTGTGCAAGGGACGAGGCTGCAGATGAACAAACCTGCGGACTGCATGGCGTTTTGCAATCCGAGCCGATGCTTGTCAGCATCCAGATAATAGGAGGGAGCAAGGTTTTCTCGAAGCCACTTTTGACACTCTAGTTCTACTGCAGGATCTTTCAAATTGTAAATATTCAATTGGGCTTGTTTGGCTCTTATAGCACCACCGAAGCGAATGCGAACTGTCGTGCACACCAATGCATGATCGGTTTCCACACAAGTTGACCAGTATGATCGGCAATCCCGGATGGTTCCACGCCACATTCGAGTTATGGCTATGTGGTCAAGTTGCGGCCAACGCTGGTATGCTAATGGAGGACGCCAGGTGGCATAATAGGGCCTAGGGTGATGAAAGCTTGTACTTGAGAGGAAATGTTGGTGATCGCCACACAGACTGAGCAATCTTTCTCGTTGCCAGAGCGAACATCATCATATCCATATGGTTCCCGACATGGCGTTTAGATGGACAATGAACAATGAACAATGATTTATCACGGGATAAAAGCAAGTGCTTGACACGTCCCGTAGGATGGTAGCGGTGAATATGATGCAATTAAAATATGTCTGGGTCATCTATCGAACGTCTGCCGAGATGAATACTGTAATAATTAACATCAGTGTAAAATGAAAAAGAAATATCGCGCGTAAACGTTCAGAAAGACACTGGGGCGCAGTGATAGTTGAGGTAAGGAGTGAGAAAATAAAATATGGTCGCTCACTTAGGTCCATTTGATACATTAGTCCTGTTGAAAACATGCTTGGCGTAATCCACAACAGAGGAGCTTAGGTAACAAAATGTTGGGAGCTGAGAGCAACATCTAATCGTTTTTTGAAAACATCCAGGGTAGGAGAGGATACAACTGAGTCTGGGAGTGCGTTCCATGGTTTGCAAACCCGAAGGGAAAAGTAATTCCGTCGACACTCTAGACGGCTATATTGTTCCTTCAACTTTAAGCAGTTACCCCTGAGCTGCGTGTTGTGGCTAAGTTTCAGCAAATGGCGGCATACGTGGTTGGGGTCACTCAATATCTGATACGCTAATATGAGATCGCCGCGCAGCCTTCGATAACGTCCGCTGAAAATTCCCAGCAACTTCAGCCTTCGGTGGTAAGAGTGATAGCGCAGGCCCTTTACATTTTTTGTTGCTCTTCGTTGTGGTGCCTCTATCGCTTCTAGGTCGCGTTTCAACCAAGGTTGCCAAGCTTGGATTGCGTACTCAACATGCGGGCGCACGTAGGAATTGTGCATCATTGGGAAGATTGATGGGTCAAATCTCCCGAATGCCCTTCGCAGCATGCCGACGTGCTGGTTGCCTCTTTTGGCAGCTACCTCAGCCTGTTTTGAACAGTTGAGGTCGCTCTGTACGATCACACCAAGATCACGTTCCTGGGAGCTATTCTGCAATTCGTTTGTCCCAAGTATGTAGGTGTAGTTATGTCTATGGCGTAATTGTACCACGTGACATTTGTCTACGTTGAACGGTAGGGCGTTTTGAACTGACCAGTTCGACACTGTGTTAAGATTGTGCTGGAGCCGTTCATGGTCATCCGGTCCTCTGATCCTTCGCCATATCTTGATATCATCAGCGAAAAATAAGAAATCGGAAGTAATTGATCTCGCCAAATCGTTAATGAACACCAAGAATAGACGAGGTCCAAGAACCGAGCCTTGTGGTACTCCACACGTCACGTCGATTGCGTGAGAAAATGATTCTCGGACTCTCACCACTAGCCGTCGTTCTTGTAGAAAATTGCTAATCCAACTCAGGATTGGATCGCCAATGCCGTAGTTCCGAAGCTTCTGAAGGAGAACTCGATAGTCTAAACGATCAAACGCTTTTGAAAAGTCCAGGTAGATGACATCGACTCCAACTCCATCATCAACAGCTTCAGTCCAGCTATTACGTGCAATTAATAGGTTAGTATTACATGAATGCTTTTGACGAAAGCCATGTTGCTCTGGGGCTATTAAATTGTGGCTTTCCAAATATTGCATCAGCGCGTCTGCGATGACTGATTCCATCGCTTTGGATAGTATGGGAAGTAGTGTTATTGGACGGTAGTTGGCAGGATCAGTGCGGCTACCTCCTTTATGGATAGGAGTGATGACCCCTTGCTTTCATACTGGTGGAATAAGGTTTTCCTCTAGACATCGCTGATAGAAAACAGCCAGTGGTTCTGCTAGATCACTAGCTACCGTCTGCAGAGCCTTTGGTCGGATGTTGTCAGCTCCGGGAGAACTGTGGATACGCAAGGATAACAACTTCTTCAACACAGTTTCCGTAGTGAAGATGATGTTTTCTAAACCAGATGGTGGAGTATTAGAAATGAGGTGAATGTTTGGGCTCGACACT